TGTGCACTTCTGATCAGCTTATAGAGAATCTACTGTGTACATTTTACATCTCGACCTCGAGGGTTATATTTACACGACTACTCAGAACCTCAGGTGGGAAACAACTTGGTATATCCTGTTTCTAATGTTGTTCCTTTACATGTTTACTGGTGCCACTTGTGCCTAATTGACTTTGTTGTCCATAAGCACACAGTGGTCTAAGTATGACCACACTTAAATGATTCAGAGAGTTTCTGTGTAGAAGAGTGATCTAAAATCTCTCCTGAGACGTGTGCAAACAACCAACTACGAGGAACGTCTTACCGCTGTGGTGCCAACGAGGCATTCTCCCTCAAGCCCTAAGTCATGTTTGCTGGGGATCAAATGCTTATTTCACTCAATGCCATGCAACTCATTTGATGGCTTTTATGTCATTTTTGGTTGATATTGTGCCTCTCTCCGGTAAAAATGAGACTAGCATAGAAAGACTGTTCTACAGTTACCAGCTCTGTGCATGCTGTTGATCCGTGCAGTGTTCTCAGTTTTTCACACATTGTTTTTGCATCTTGGTTCAGTTTTAGTTAAATAAATCACGACACTGTGTAGTATGTCGTGGTACGTGTTGTTGTCCATTTCAGGTTGCATTTATCCAATCGTAAGGCCTGCTAAGAACGTCTTTCTTGAGAGTTGACCGCTTTAAAGTACAAATCTGTTCTGAAGTCAAAAGCTTCGTGTGACACAGAAGAGTTGTGGTAAAAAGAGGCTCTGCAGTTACAGCAGTATAAAGTAATTTCAACCAGCAGCTCTGGAGAAACTGAGCCCCGGGGACAAATCTGGCTTTACTTATGTAGCTGGTATCTACCAGTTTGCTCTTTTCATGTTTCAGGTCGTGGAGTCTGTGCTTTGTCTTTAAGAATAAAGAGTTTAAGTGGATGGATCTTTTACACTTGGTGTAACACACCACTGGATTACTACACACTGTATGTGCGGCAGGTATCGTTCAGATTTTAGTGTTGTTGTGTCTGTTTAATCATAGACCTCAGAGGTGAATATGAATGATGCTGTGGTCCCAGGCTCAAAGCAGAGACTCTTGTTTGACTCCCCCCATTAAAATCTGCTTTAGTTGTTTTGTGGGGCAGGGAAACTATTTACATAACAAGCATGTGATGTCTGAGGCAGCCCAGTTACTGATCTTTGTACGTGGGAGAGCGAAAGAGTTGGAGATTAAGGTGGGACTGGAAGATCACGGACGCAGCTGCATGCTCAGATAGGGTGGGGCTGAAATGGGACAAAGAGGGATCCATCCATGTTTATTTATTGATTAATTAAATTGTTGGTGTTTTTACTATTTTCATTGTCTAACTAATATCTGCCAATAACACCAGTAGAGATAAAACTATTATTGAACTATTAATGCTGAGTTTAACTTACTGGTGCAGCCCTGCACAACACTTTGTTTTCCTCTCATGTAACCACTTGGGAAAATTCATTACCCAGTCCTCTAAATTAATAGTTGGTAATTAATAACAGTGTGTTTGATCCCTACCCTAGTTCAAGTCAAGTGGCTTTATTGTCCTTTCAACCATGTACAGTGGTACAGCACAGAGGGAGGCGAGACAGCGTTCCTCTAAGATGAAGGTGCTACATATAACAATCAACACAGGACTACAGGAAGTGCAAGTGTGCAACAATTACAAAACCAGTGCAACACCAGACAGGACAGAACGATGCAGACACGCAACAGGAAAGTGCAACAACCACAGTGGGTTGTGCAGAAAGACTGAGCATTGTGCAAAAGGAAAGTGTGTGTGTGTGTGTGTGTCCGACGGCCTGGGGGAAGAAACTGTTCCACAGTTGGCAGTGAGGGGCAGGATGCTCTGGTTCTCTTTCCAGGAGGCAGCAGGTGAAGAGTGTGTGTGAGGGGTGTGTGGGGTCCTCCACATGCTGGTGGCTGAGCAGATGCAGTGGGTGTTATACGTGTCCGTGATGGAGGGAAGAGAGGGTCCAGTGATCTTCTCGGCTGTCTCTCTGTAGAAGGTGGTGAGAACGGATGGAAGGAGATGGTCATGTTGAGGGACCAGGAGAGGTTCTCCGGCAGGTGGACACCAAGCAATTTGGTGCTCTTGACGACCTCCACAGAGGATCCATTGATGTTAGTGGGCAGTGATCTCTCTGTGCTCTCCGTCAACAATCATCTCCTTTGTTTTGTCCACATTCAGAGACAGAGTGTTGACACCAGTCTGTTAGCTGTTGCAGCTCCTCTCTGCATGCTGACTCGTCAGCTTCAGTTTTCCAATTAGGTGCTGAGGAAGGATTGTGCTGAAGGCTGAACTGAAGTCTATGAAACACATTTGTACATATGTGTCCTTAATGTCTCCATGGTGTGCACCAACCAACAGACAGGCACGCCTGTACTGCATGAATATCACGAACGTGACCAGTATAGGCATGGTGCATCATGCCAGGATCAAGTCTGACACGGAGCAATCAAACCTTTGCTGCAGGTGGCCTCGTTCCACTAAACACTGATCAGAATGCTTCATCTGGAATAAACTGAACGCTCATCAGTTTAGTTTTTTGTAGAGTTATTAAGGACCTCGTGTAGGACATTCAAGCATCAGAAATTATGCAAGAATTACAATCACAAAGTTGTACGACTGCAACCATGAAAATCAACTGATTTAAGAAGTCACAGAAATCAGTCCTGAAGTGAACATCAAGAACATCAAGATCTTCTCAGATGGCAAAGCAAAAAGCTCGACTTCTAGCAGGGCAGAAGGAGGAAAACACAGAGC